GCCCAGATTGAGCTGATCCGAAGGGATTACGTGGCCAACGGGGGCTGGGAGACCTTCCTGTCCTACGAAGACCCGGAGCAGGACATCCTGGTCGGGCTCCTGCGCCTTCGGAAGTGCTCCGAGGAATCCTTCCGGCCGGAGCTGAAGGGAGGCGTCTCCATCGTCCGGGAATTGCACGTCTATGGGAGCGTGGTCCCCGTCAGCAGCCGGGATCCCTCCAAATTCCAGCACCAGGTACTCCAAACCCTCTTTATTTTCCCTCCCCTCTCCTCATGGAACCTGATTTAACGTCCGATTCGCTCCTTTGACACCCGTCGTGCCTTTGGATTCCCTTCTCCCAGTTAATCCTTGTCCAGCAGCTGGATTTCACTCCTGGAATCTGAAAACTAATTCCAGGCGGAGGGAAAGTGAGATTTTTATTTGGTCCTTCCCCAGTTTTCTCTCCAAGGAACGTTTACTGAACGGATTCTTCCCACCCAAACAGAAGGAATCCAGTTTTCTACTTGAAGTGCCTGGAGAAGCTGCGGACTCCCCATCCCTGGAAGTGTCCCAGGACAGGCTGGATGAGGCTTGGAGCAACCTGGGATGGTGGGAGGTGTCCCTGCCCATGGCACTGGATGAGCTTTAAGGTCCCTTCCAACCCAAACCGTTCCACGATTCCATGATTTAGCAACACTCCCAGATCTCTTCGTTGGCTCAGGCAGCTTTTTTTCCTTCGGAGAACGTGTCGTGTATCCCTTAAAACGCGGGAATGAAGGGACTGGGAAGCTGCTTCTCGTTCCTTGCAGTGACTTGCAGGAAAATATCACATTACCCTGCTGCCGCCTGGGACGTGTCGGGGCTTGTGGGGAGCGAAAACCTGAATTAAATTGAGGCTCTGAACCCTTTAAGGCTGAGCTTTCCAAAACAATCCCGGTTGCCCGGAGCGCTCAGGGGGCCGATGTTTTAAATTAACTTCCTTGGAAAGGATTAATCTTTGCCTGGGGAGGTGCCTGGTGGTTTTGGCCAGAGAAAACATCAAGGAGGGGGGGAGAGAAAAATCAAGGAAAAGTGGATATTGGAGGGGGAAAAAAATCAGGAAGGAAAATAAAGGGAATCGACCGAAAGCGGCCGAGCACGAACGTGGAAACGGCTGGAAGTGGGAATTCCACGGTGGAATTTTGCGTTCCTCGGGTCAGTCGGAGGGTTGTTCCTCGGCCAGGGAGCAGTTTCTGATTAGAAGGACATTTTGGGATGAAGATTCCTTAAAAAGGCCTCCGAGCGTTGAGCGGTTTTGGTTTTCGTTTTTTGGTTTTTAATTAAAAAAAAATTAAAATTAAAGAATTTTTTTTAAAAAAAATTAAAATTTAAATCGCGGCGGCTTCAGAATGCCCTGGAAACCAGATGAAGGAAGATCCCGCTGTAATTCCTGCATCCTGGTGTTTAGGAGGGAATGAATCTCCTCAATTATTCCCAGATATATAGGACAACAGAGGGGTTAAATAGAGTGGAAAGGCTTTTCCCTGTGATTCCAGGAGCGCTTCTAAACACCAGGATGCAGGAATTACAGCATGGAGATGGTGCAGGGTGTTAACATGTTTTCCTGCTTTTCCTTTGGATTTGGCATCTCCTGTGGCACGAGCTGAGAGTTGAGCTCAGCCCGGACCTGTGAGGGAACGTCGTGATAATTCATCCTGGAATGAGCAGGGAGACAGTTCCTGACTCCTGGAGGGGTTGGAAATCAAGATAACGAGGTGCTGAGGGAACTTGTGGATCATGGAATGGTTTGGGTTGGAAGGGACCTCAAAGCTCATCCCTTTCCACCCCCTGCCATGGGCAGGGACACCTCCCACTATCCCAGGTGGCTCCAGCCTGGCCTGGGACACTGCCAGGGATCCAGGGGCAGCCACAGCTTCTCTGGGAATTCCAGACCAGACTCTCCCCACCCTCCCAGCCAACAATTCCTTCCCAATCTCCCATCTCTCCCTGCCCTCTGGCACTGGGAAGCCATTCCCTGTGTCCTATCCCTCCAGCCCTTGTCCCCAGTCCCTCTCCTGCTCTCCTGGAGCCCTTTTAGGCTCTGGAAGGAGCTCCAAGGTCTCTCTGGATCCTTCTCTTCTCCAGCCTGGACACCCTCAGCTCTCCCAGCCTGGATCCAGAGCCTGACATTTGATCCATCCTCTTCCAGTTCCTCTCTGAGAAGGAGTTCAGGGAACAAGGGAATCTCGGGACTCAGGGAAGAGCCTCCCTTCCCCTTTGCTCCCATTTCCATCCCCAGATTCCATAAAAATCCCTCTGACTGGATTCTGAGTGTCCTTTACAGTAAAATCCCAGGATTGGAAGGGACCTTAAAGCTCATCCCATTCCACCTCCTGCCATGGGCAGGGACACCTCCCGCTATCCCAGGTTGCTCCAACCCAGCCTTGGACACTCCCAGGGATCCAGGGGCAGCCACAGCTTCCCTGGGAATTCCAGCCCAACCCCTCCCCACCCTCCCAGCCAGGAATCCCTTCCCAATCTCCCATCTCTCCCTGCCCTCTGGGAAGCTGCAGTTTCCAACTGCAGGATGATTTGCCATCAGTGGATTTGACTCCATCCCGTTCCTGCCGTGGACAATCCGACCCCGGAGCTGCCCGTGAATAATTTCACCACCAGAAAAAAAACAAAATCCCTGGATATCCAGCAATATTCCTGATCCCAGGATCATTCCTGTGCCAGAAGAGATGAATCTTTTAGTACTGAGCTGGTGCTTGTTCTGACCTTGCCTATTCTTTCTGATTTTTACAGAACTTTTTACCTTTTCTCCCTGTCATTTCTCCCTTTGCAGGGATTTGGGATGTTGCTGATGGAGGAGGCGGAGAGAATCGCCAAGGAGGAGCACGGGTCATGGAAAATTGCTGTGATTTCAGGTACCTTTATCCCCTTTTTTTTTATATATATATGTATTTATATATAATCTCTGCCTTAATCTGAAAATAAACCCGCTGCAGCCACTGCTGGGAACGTTCCCGGTGCGAGGGAGAAAATAAGGATCAGCTGTTCCTTCGTCACAGAGTCAGATTTCACTGTGGGTTTATCCAGACAACCCCGTTGTGGTGAGAGGACACTCCCCAGGGATCCATCCCAAGGGCTGGAGGACAAGGATTTGTGTGACCACGGGGGTTTCCCTCCCCCAGATCCCATTCCTGACCTCGGCTTGTTCTCCTGGAGAGCTGCTTTCCAGAGGGATGTTTAGGAGCCTGGAGGTGCCAGAGGAGCTTTTAGGATATTTAGGCATTATCCTGGAGGAGGGAGCTCGGGAAGGAAGAGCTGCAGCCCTTCCTGCTCCTTCGTTCTCAGGGCGAGACTTAAAAACTTCCTCAGTTCATTTTGTGTCTTAATTTATCTTATATTAATTATGGCAGCTGGAGGAAGCTTTTCCAGGTGTGTTATCATGGAATATCCTGGCTTGGAAGGTATCCACAAGGATCAAGTCCAACACAGGACACCCCAATTACCCCCACTAATCCCTGAGGGTGTTGTCCGGACTCTCCTTGAGCTCTGGGAGGTTTGGGAAGTGCCCATTCCCTGGGGAGCCTGTTCAGTGCCCAACCACCCCTCTGGGTGGTAAATAATATGGATTATAATAGAATTATAATATAATAATAGAATATAGATTATATTACTGAGGAAACATGAATTGCATGGGGAGAGAACCCCTTGCTGGCAAAAAATCACTCTATGGGGGGGATTTAACAAAATAACTGTAACATAGACATTTTTTCTTTTTTCCAAAAAAAAAATCATTTCCTGCTGTCCCACCAAAAAAAACCCCAAAAATCAGAAATCCACAGCTCTGATCCAAGCTGCTGAACAGCTTCTCTGTGTGTTCCCAGCTCTGTAATTCCCCTGAATGCTGAAAAACCAAAGTGGATCCTCTCCAAGTCCTTGTGAGTGGGGACAACGTGCAGCCAGGAGCCAGAGGCTCCAAGATAGTTTTGTATTCCCTGGATTCCCTGTTTCTTGGCTGTTTAAGACATGTTGTGGCTGCCCCTGGATCCCTGGGAGTGCCCAAGGCCAGGTTGGAGCAGCCTGGGATAGCGGGAGGTGTCGGGGTTGGAACGGGATGAGCTTTGATGGCCCTTCCCGCCCAAACCATTCCAGGATTCCGTATCCGGCCTTGTTTCCCTGCGTGGGGTCAGTTTGAACTGGGAATTCCACATGGCTGAGAAATGCCTGTGAGGAAGGAGGAAGGTGGAAGTGCACGAGGGTTATTTTGGAGTTGCTGTGGCATTCCCGGCTCGGGCCAGAGCCAGGAACATTCCTTCTGCCAGGAGCGGGAAAACGTGCAGGAATCCCTAAAAAATACCTGGTGAAAACACCGGGGTTCCCAATTTCAGCTGTGTTTTTGGCAAACACTGGTGTGAAGAGGGAGTTTGGGGGCTTGTGGGAAGTCTGGCTTTGCTGGATGCACAGTTTGGGGCCTCCTGCTAAAAACCTCCTCCGCGCTTCGGATTTTCATCCCGGAGCGCCAAGAACATCCTGGGATTTGTCTCTGAGTGCAGAGAATTCCAGGACCACAAGTTTTCCAGCTGTTTCCTTGGAGATGCTGAATTGCAGCTCTCCTGGTGGTTTTATCTGGAGTAAAAACGCAGCCAGGAGTTCTGTCTCCATTGGAGGGTGAAATTTTGGGTTCAAAAGGGTGTTTGGGTTTTTTTTTAATCTGGGAACTCGTTGGAAAGTTGTGTCTCTCCAGCACTTTGCAAAATGATTCCTTCAAAAAGAAATACCTGGAATTTTAAAATAGGACAAGGTGAAGGGGTTTTGTTGTTGGTTGAAGGTGAGGGATCATCTCTGAGAGCAGGTCAAGGTTGGGAATGAGCAGGTCAGGGTTGGGAATGAACAGGTCAAGGTTGGAAGTGACAGGTCAAGGTTGGGAATAAGCAGGTCAAGGTTGGGAATAAGCAGGTCAAGGTTGGGAATAAGCAGGTCAAGGTTGGGAATTATCAGGTCAAGGTTGGGAATGAGCAAGTCAAGATTGGGAATGAGCGGGTCAAGGTTGGAAGTGACAGGTCAGGGTAGGGAATGAGCAGGTCAAGGTTGGGAATGAGCAGGTCAAGGTTGGGAATGAGCAGCAGACATTGTTTCAGGGTGGTTGGACAAGATGACCTTTAAAGGTCTCTTCCAACTCAAACCATTCCATGATTTCATGATCCTCTGTTACTGTTCCCCCCCATGGTTCTGAGCAGGGGCGTCTCACCCTGATTGTTTTAGGATACCCCATTTCCTGGGGATCCCAAAGCGCTGGGTGCCCCCAGGTATCCCAGAGCTGTATTCCAGAGTCTTTGATCCCTGAGGATCCTCCTGTCTGTCCAGATGTGAGGCCAGATGCCCATCTCCAGCTCATGCACTCACCCTTTAGGGAATGAATTTGGGAAGCTGGATAAGCCTGGAGAGGTCCAGAGGTCTCTGATCCTTCACCACAGCCTTGGATTGAAGCGTGGCTGGAAGCTGGTTTGGAAAAGCCTTTACCTCCATCCAGAGGAAGGGAAATCCAGATTAAAGTGTGTCTTTGCATCCAAAATGGGCAATACAGTGACAAAAGGGGACGAAAAACAGCACAGGAATTAAAAACCCTCCCGTGTGAGTGACGTGCTTCCAGCGAGGGATGTTGGAATTCCTCTGTGCTGTGGGGCTGAGTTGGTGGGATTGAACAATTCCTGACACCCCCAGCTGTGTCCATTAGATCCTCACTCATTAGGAACCTCTTCCCTCCGTGGCAGAGCATGTTTGGCTGCCAGAGTTGATTTTCCCTGTTGTCTCAGCTCCCTGGAGGATTCCAGGCACAATGTTTTCCCCTCCACGTGGTTCCTTCCCAGGTGGGAAGCGAGTGAGGGATCCCTGATTGCCTCCTGATTAGGATCAGTGGGATCCAAGTAATGAGACTGGAGGGAATGATCCCAGTGTCTTTCTCCTGAGGCTGTGGGGAGGATTTGAACCAATTCCACCTGTTTTCCATGGCCTCCACCAGGGATAAAATCCTTCAGGACTTTGGGGGACTCATGCTGGGTTAGGAACTGGCTGAGGGCCGGGCCCGGAGAGTGATGGGAATGGAGCTGCATCCTGTTGGGATCCGGGCACCAGTGGTGTCCCCAGGGATCAGTGCTGGGCCCGGAGAGTGGTGGGAATGGAGCTGCATCCCACTGGGATCCGGGCACCAGTGGTGTCCCCAGGGATCAGTGCTGGGCCCAGCCCTGTTCCGTGTCTTTCCTGATGACCTGGATGAGGGGATGGAGTCCCACCATCAGCAAATGTGCAGGTGACACCGAGCTGGGGGCAGTGTGGATCTGCTGGAAGGCAGGAGGGCTCTGCAGAGGGACCTGCACAGGCTGGATCCATGGGCTCATTCCAACAGGATGAGGTTCCACAAGGCCAAGGGCCAAGGGCCGGGTCCTGCCCTTTGGCCACAACAACCCCCGTCTGGGCCAGAGGGGCTGGAGAGCAGCCAGGCAGGAAGGGAGCTGGGAGTTGGGATGGCCAGGAAGCTGAACAGGAGCCAGAATGTGCCCAGGGGGACAAGAGGGCCGATGGATCCTGGCCTGGATCGGGATCAGGGTGGCAGCAGGAGCAGGGAAGGGATTGTGGCCCTGTGAGGCCACCCCTGGAGTGCTGTGTCCAGCTCTGGGCCCTCAGCTCAGGAAGGACATGGAGGGGCTGGAGCAGGGCCAGGGAAGAGCAGCGAGGCTGGGAAGGGACTGGAGCACAATTCCCGTGAGAAGAGGCTGAGGGAGCTGGGGGGGCTCAGCCTGGAGAAGAGGAGGCTCAGGGGAGACCTCATCCCTCTGCACAACTCCCTGCCAGGAGCGGGGAGCCGGGTGGGATCGGGCTCTGCTCCCAGGAACCAGCAGTAGGACAAGAGGGCTCGGCCTCCAGCTGTGCCAGGGGAGGGTCAGGTTGGATATCAGGAAGGAATTCTTTCCATGGAGAGGGATCAGCCCCTGGAATGGGCTGCCCAGGGAGGGGGTGGAGTCACTTCCCTGGAGGTGTTTAAGGACAGACTGGATGTGGCATCAGTGCCACGGGCTGGGAACCACGGCGGGGTTGGATCCAGGGTTGGACTTGATGATCTCGGAGCTCTTTTCCAACCCGGCTGATTCTGGGATTCCATGATTCTGTGATCTCCCAGCCTGGTGGTGCTGCTGGGTCACGGGTGGAAGGAAACTCTGCTTCTCCTGTTTGCCTTTTGCAGGCGGGGGAGAGAAAAAAAGGAGGTTGGGGACTTACTGAGGGTAAATCAGATGCATCCCAGGGTGTTAAATTCACCTGGAATGAGGAATGTTCAGAGGGGGAGAGGCTGAGCTGGCACATAAATCAAAGGGGCACATTTGATGGGACCTAAGTAGCCTCATTTCCTCCTGTAAACAGCCCTCTGGCCACCCTGGAAGTGATAAATTAGGGCAGTAAAACAGCATCCACGGGATGTTGATTCATGGGATACTCAGGACTCCGGGGCGGGGAGGATTGATGGGGTCTGGGAGGGCTCCCTGGAGTTTTGCTTCCAGCCCTGGTTGGTTATTTTTAGCCCGTCTTGGAGGCTGTTAATAAAAAGGAAGTGGCCCGGGATAAGTGGAAACACGGGAATGGTAATGAATCGACTCTCTGGTGTTTGTCTGGCTTGGATGGATGGGAAAAAAAAAATTAATTAGGGGGATTTGGAAGAAGCCAAGGATAAACCTGGAGTAGTGTGCCGTGTGAAATCCTCCAGTTCTTAATGAACCGCGATTTTGGAGGTTTTAATGATGTGGCAGCTTTGAAAACAGGCTTGATAGTGAATTAACTGGGATTTTGGGGCAGGCATGAGCAGGAATATTGGCTGTCCTTAAGCAAGGACAATCCTACACAAGCATTTTTTGCAAGGGTGTCCTGGTAG